GTTGGCAAACTTTCTCACCTAGAGCTAAAAAATTAGCGCGAATATAAAATGTTGATGCTTGGCTATTAGGATATGCATCTTATGTGAGAAAGGTTGTCGTTCTTCATTTTGAAGCTACATCAGGTAGCTAGATTTGCTTTTGTTCGTTGGTAAAAGTTCATTTATTTATTGAAAGCGAGAGGAAATTGATTTATTGTTTCAAAATAAATTTCCGTCCGTGTTTAAGGAAAAGTTTTTCGATTCCTTTGGAAAAAGTAGAATTTCTTTTGCTCATTCGGTAGTTTGAACTTAAAAAAAAATGATCTTGGATCTTCTGACTGCAAGTAAATATGTTTTCATATTGTTTTTAGTTTCTTGCGTCTTTCGCTAAAAAATAATTTTTATAGTGTTCCGGTTTGGAAGGTAAGAAAACAAGTAATTATGTCCCGATATATTAGTTTGAAAGAAAATATTACTTTGCTGATGCATTTTCTTTTGAAGAGTTGACAAACTTTCTCATAGAGTTGAAAAATTAATGCGGACATAAAACATGGATGCTTAGTTATCGGGATTTCATCTTATGTGAGAAAGGTTGTTGTTCTTCATATTAAAGCCACATTAGGAAATTAGATTTGCTTTTGTTCGTCGCTAAAAGTGCCTTAATTTATTTTATTGAAAGTGAGAGGAAATTTTTATTGTTTCAAAATATATTTGCGACGGTTTTTAAGAAAGAGCTTTTCAATTTCATTGGAGGAAGTATAATTACTTGTTTCCATCCGGTAGTTTGAACTTAAAAAAAATAATCCTGGATCTTCTTGCTGCAAATAAATATTTTTTGGTACATTTTAAGTTTCTTGGTTCTTTTGTTAAAATATAATTGTGTATGGTGTTCTGGTTCGGAAAGTAAGAGAGCCACAATTTATTACTTAGAAATTGTAAGCATGTTTTATAAATTTTTTAAAAATAAATGCACCTTGATGAATAAGAAAATGTTTCTTTCTTGAGAAAATATAAATCTGCTCTAGTCCCTCACGTGCACCAACTATGAAAAAATGAAACCTATCATGATGGCCCCTCTCTCTCTTAGACATTGCAATTTGCTTTCCTAGTATGTGATGACCATTGACGAAAGACTTGTGTGCTTGATTATGGGAATTGTCAGATTTAGTTTATCTGAGAAAGGTTGTTAGTATGTGTTTTGAAGCTTCATTTATGAAAGATAGTTGGTAAAGAATAAAAAATGGTCGGGTGTTTTGGGTAGAGAACATTATTTCTGTGGCCCTTTGCATTCATAATGAATGTTTTAATTGAGATTCTTGAACCCAAGGATAAGAGCTTCAATTCCTTATCAACAAGCTTTCAGTTCCAAAATTGCGGTGCTTGGATAATCATTTTGAAAGTTAGAAGTTTCTCGATCTTTCAAAACAAACTTATTTTATATTCTTAAATGTCTTATGTCGAAATATATAAGTTCGGAAAGTAAACTAGCTCGATTAATTTGTTTGAAACTGAGGGTGTCCTTATTTATTTTTTAAAAATAAATGTTCCTGTCGGTGCCTAGACAAATGTTCCTCAATTTTTTTGGGCAATTCGGTCCCTCGGAATAGTTCCAATTCTTAAACAAATGTGACTTGATCTTTTAGTTGGAAGTAAATATTTTCTAATATATCAACTTAAAGTTTCTAAAACTTTTGTTGAAACATAATTATGATAAGTGTTCTATAAGATAAGTGTACCTGTTGGAACACTAAGAGAGGCTCAAGTAATTGTTTAAATGCTGAAAAATGTGTTGCATCTATATTTTAGAAAAGAAAATGTGCCTCGGTGCATAAAAATGTGATTCTTGATTTTTTGTGGCAAAGTGAAAGTGTTTTGATCCGTTAAGTTGTACCAACTCAAAAAGATGTGGTCTGAAATTTCAATCCAAAGTAAATATGTTTCGGTGTGTAGGTTTGAAAGTAAAAGTTTAATTTGGTGGTGCACTTTCTTATGTAGAGTTAGGCAACCTTTCACTTAGTGATGACAATATGCTTTGTAACAGCCCCGGAAAATATTAAAAAAGAAATGAGTATTTAAATATATCGAATGCGGAAGCGAGATCAAAATTTCAGTTAACATCCCTTACACGAAAAAACCCAAAAAACGTACTTAAAATATAAAAGGTTAAACTAACTAAGAAAGAAAACTCGAAAATAAACTATGCGTATGACTACAGAGTCTCTAGGCATCCCCTTCGTCGTCCTCCTGCGGAACGGGCTCGGGAACCATGTCTTCCTGATCTGAAATGGTTAATTAAGGAGTGAGCTACACTAGCCCAGTAAGAACATCACGATATCTCACCGTCACGGAGATAAAGGTGGGTAGAAAACCACAAAAAGACCAATGGAGCATAATTTACAATAAACTCGTTTATTAACATGAAAACCTTTACCATCCACTTACCTCGGTGGAATTTATGAAAACAATATAAGAAAAATAATAACATTATCACAATCATGGAATAATATAAGCTGTAAAACATAGCACTTATCACGCCTTTTATAATTCAATCATTATACAACATATCCTTTTCTCATTTACCAGCCTACTAGTATCCATGGGGGTCCCTAGGGGTCCCGCTACCCGTTAACCTTTAACATTCATAATCAGTTTCCAGGGCCGTCCCCATACCCCGTCCGGTATGGGCGCCAAAACCATAAACCTCAATACCCCGTCCGGTATGAGGGTGAAACGGGCCGTCCCCATACCCCGTCCGGTATGGGCGCCAAAACCATAAGATCTCCATGCCCCGTCCGGCATGTGAGACCACAATCCCGGTAGGGTTCCCTACGGACCCGGTCCGTCCACCATCTCCCAGGATATCTAGTCAGGCTGTCCCCATCATACAATTATCAGTCTATACAATGTTTCATTTCCCTTTTTCCTCAATAAGCATCATCAATTCACATTTAAACAAGCAAATCGTAATTCATGCCGAACAGACAACATACAGTATCAGTTCTTCAGTCATTCAACCCATAATTAATAAAACAGTAATATATGCATTCGAAATTATAAAATGAACACATCAAACCCCATAATGCATTTAAAGCTGTAAAACAGTGTAAAACATGCCAAACAACAGTAAATCATTAATCACACTAGACTCGGGCTTCATTAGCAACCTTAAGCAATTTCACACATGCGTTAATTCAAGAAATACCGTTTTATCATTTTGAACTTTAATACCGTGATAGAAAATAGGGTGAGGGGTCCTTACTTGTTTTCGGGATCCGAATACGATTCACAGTGCGCCTGCAGGCTGTCCCTAATTTTCCCTGAATTTTTCCCGGGGAACTGAAACACACTAACAGTACCTGCACGTGTTCCAAAAAAAATCCAAATTAGGCCCAGGGCCTCTTTCGGCCCAAATCGCAACTCCGGCACGGCGGCTCCGCCGTGCTCCGGCGACGGCACCGCCGCTGGCGGCGGCGAGTCGCCTCGGGTTGACTGTTTTCGGCCGTTTTTGGCCGAATTCGGCCACACTCGCATTGGTCCTTGTCAGAAAACAACCCTAGGGCCCTCGGGGGGCCAAAAAATCACGGAAAAGCGGAGCTTACCGGCGGCGGCGCTCTCGGGTACGGCGACTCTCCGGCGAGGTTCGTGTTTTGGTGATTTGGCTTCGGTCAACCTGTAGAGAAAAGAATGGTGATCACGGTGATATAAAAATTGCATCGAACGGAGGCCGGGAAGGGCCTCGTCGGAGGCAAAAACCGAGAGGGGGCGCGGCGGCGCCGTTGGGCTTCGGCCGCGTATTCCGGCCGTTTGGCCGGGATTTCGGCTTCGATTTGGCCATAGGAGGAATCAGTGGGGAAAAACGAGTCGGGGGTATGAAATTTACCTCGATCGGCGGTCGGAAATTTCCCCGGTGCGGCGGCGAGTGGCGGCGGGTGGCGGCGGTCGGCCTCTGGTTCGTCTTCTCCGGCGAGCGGCTGGCGGCTAGGGTTTGTGGTCTGGTGTGGGGGTTCTATTTATAACCCCTTGCCTTTTGATCACAGCCGTTCATTTCGTTTTAATCTGGGCCGTTCGTTTTTGATTGAATCTGGGCCGTCCGTGCGTTTGAATCTGGGCCGTCCGATCGCGCGATTGATCTGGGCCGTCGGATCGCACCCACGCGGATCGCCAACGTGGCTCCTTTTGGAGTGACGCGATCTTGCCACGTGGCAGACCCCGGTTGGCCGGGACTGCTGACCGGGTCCAGGCGCCTGGGCTGCTGACGTGGCCCCCCCTTTTTTTTTTTTTTTTTTTTTTTTTTTTTTTTTTTCTGTAGTTGTCGATTCTAGGGTTTTACTGTAGTCTCTGCTGGGTTATCGAGAAAATTACGATTAAACGGAAAAGAAAAGAGAAGAATATAAGCTTGTCTCAGTTTAGTAATCGACAAAACTTTGACGAAAAGTGATTGTTTCGGATATTTTTTGCGAAGGAGAGGAGAAATTTGTTTATAATATTGCATTGCAAAAGGATTGACTTAATTTGAGCCGTAGAGTTGGCCAATTATAGTAGGTTTGTATCTGTAAGTGCTAAATTATCAAACTTTTCTTCTGCAAAATGAATTTTTTGGAAGTAGAAATGCTTGGAAATGATTGATTTTACTCGCTAGGTCGAGAATTTTGGGGTTTGTTTTGGAACAAATTTTTTTTGCAGAATTGCTCTTTCTTAGGTCTAGAATTTACCATAAACTTAAATGAGTGCCATTTTTTTTTCTTATTCTCTGTGGTGTTATGATAAGAATGCGGTCGCAATACTAAATTTCTAATTAATAAAGCTTGTTTGTAGAAACTTTTCTGAAGTTTTAATCTATAACGAGACATATTAATCAAAGAAATTCCGTGTACTAGTAGAATTTGATATTTTATGGTCCTATTAGGACCGCCATCCAGATAGTATGTAGTGACTATTTTGCAGTGATGCAGCAAGATTAATTGGTGTATTGTATGATTTGCCTGATTTATTCAGAACCTATCGTATTCAATTTTTAATGTTTACTGTGTTGCAGGCTTTGAGGGATTCTCTGGTAGTGATGAGAGGAGAGAAAGAAAATCTGATTTTGAGAATTCTGAGGATGAAAGACGCACAAGAATTGGGTCTTTGAAAAAAAAAGCAATAAATGCATCTACAAAATTCAAGCATTCTCTAAAGAAGAAGAGCAGTAGAAGGAAAAGTGATGTCCGAGTCAGCTCTGTTTCCATTGAGGATGTTCGGGATGTTGAGGAGTTGCAGGCTGTTGATGCATTTCGCCAGTCATTGATCATGGATGAGTTGCTGCCAGATAGACATGATGACTATCATATGATGTTGAGGTGCTTTTGCTTTGTCACTTTTGCTTGTTTCATTCCGTTATTGTTTATTTTTATAGTTCTCGACATGATTTCAAGTTTCATCCTTTTTGTTGTTCATGATATTTTTCAAGTCTTAACTTAATGAATTCTCAGTGTTAAAATCCTTTAGCTTTCCGTTCATTCCAGGTTCTTGAAAGCAAGGAAGTTTGATATTGAAAAAGCAAAGCACATGTGGGCTGATATGCTTCAGTGGAGGAAGGAATTTGGTACTGATACCATAATGGAGGTAACTACGGTCTTCGCAGCTTGCTTGAAATTCTATTTCCATGCCACTCTTTATGTCGTCACTTTGTTTAACACATTCATGTTACAGGATTTTGAGTTCAAAGAGTTGAATGAAGTTTTAAAGTACTACCCTCATGGTAATCATGGAGTGGATAAGGAGGGAAGGCCCGTCTACGTTGAGAGATTGGGAAAAGTTGACCCTAACAAACTGATGCAAGTCACAACTATGGATCGATATGTAAAATACCATGTACAGGAGTTTGAGAAAAGTTTTGCTGTCAAGTTTCCTGCTTGTACTATTGCAGCAAAGAGGCATATCGATTCAAGCACAACGATTTTGGATGTCCATGGAGTGGTATGTCTCTTGTAACTACTTATGCTATTTTGTTGTTGAGGTTATTGTGCCCATGCAATTAAGATTGGTCTCCCTTTTTTTGTTCGTGTTCTCGTGGTTAATGTTTCAGGGCTTTAAGAACTTCACCAAGTCTGCACGTGATCTTATTATGCGGCTGCAGAAAATTGATGGTGATAATTACCCTGAGGTGTGATTGCTCACTATGATACATTATTGTATCATGTATACAAATATGGAAAATCATGGTAACATTATGATATTGATCTTTCATTTCCATGCCACTTTAATTGATGCAGACTCTCCACCAAATGTTTATCATCAATGCTGGTCCTGGCTTTAGGCTGCTGTGGAACACCGTAAAGACTTTTCTAGATCCCAAAACAACTTCCAAGATACATGTGAGTCAAAAGATGGGTCTGTTTACATATCTTGGAATGTTTACTGGATATCTCTATATTGACATTAAGAAGCCCATTACTTATCCTTTTTGTTGATGTTATCGTTGGTTGGGAATGACTATAGGTTCTTGGGACCAAATATCAGAGCAAATTGCTTGAGATTATTGATGCCAGGTATTTCGAGCGGGAACAAATATACATATAATTCTCTTCCTCAACTTCTGTTCACTTTTCCCTCAAACGCCATGGGTTTGCTAATCTTCACAATTGTTTGCCATTCATGCAGTGAGTTGCCAGAATTTTTGGGTGGTTCCTGTACGTGTGCAGATCAGGGTGGTTGCCTGCGATCTAATAAGGGGCCCTGGAAGAATCCTGACATATTAAAGGTTATTTTTGGTCTTGTCTTCTCCTTATGTGATATATATGGTGTTAATATCACGAGTTTCCTTTTTTATCATTTGCAGTGGTGAGGAAGTTAAAACAATCTGTTATTTTGTTTACATTGTTGCAGATGGTTCTTAATGGTGAAGCACACCGTGCCAGGCAAGTTGTAAAAGTTTTGAATAGCGAGGGGAAAGTAATTGCTTATGCTAAGCCATCTTATCCAATGGTATGTCTATATTACTGTCATTTCTTATAGTTATTTGAGTTCATAATTGCAAGTATCACTTTAATTATTTGGGCACTATATAAAGCAGGTAAAAGGTAGTGATACATCCACTGCTGAGTCAGGATCTGAAGCTGAAGATATTGCTTCCCCAAAGGCAATAAAGAGTTATTCACATCTTCGATTGACTCCTGTTCGAGAAGAAGTACGTTGTTTTTAATTTTTAATATGTAATTGTAGATAAGTTAATATCATTGGCAATTTCTTATAATGCTGAACTTGGCTGATTATCCATGCTCTACTTCCAAGTGACCTGTATCTGCCAGAATATCTAGTGTTTACTTGTTAGTACAAATCATACAAAAGGGTTGGCTTTTGGTTATAATTTCATAACACAAGGATTAATTCGGCATATGTGCCATATGGCTCTGATGGCAGTCTCCTTCATGGACCTTTAAGTGGAGGGATTCAATCCCCATTTACTGCAAAAAGAATTACGTATGGTCACAAACGACGTGAGAATTTATGGTTTTTCTTTATGGTTCATAAAGCATATGAAATTATCTTGCTTACATATGAGTTATTACCAACTGTTGGTTGTTGTTTGCGTTTTCTAAAAGTGTCTGATTCTTGTGCATGTATTTTCAGGCAAAGGCAGTTGGAAAGAGTAGCTATGCTGCTGCTACTTTCTTAGGATATGATGAATATGTTCCTATGGTTGACAAAGCTGTTGATGCTAGTTGGAAAAAAAAACCAGCCCTTCAGAGGGCATCTTCTAGAGGTTAGCAAGCTCATTTCTGTACAACTGTTGTGCATAGTTGAGTTTAGCTCGAGTATAATGGTTTAGGATGCTTGATATGTTTGGTTCAATTTTCTTCCCCTTTTGGTTGAGATGGTATCATATCTTTTTTTGTTAATTCTGATTCTATCATAATTTACGATATCATCTACAAGAAAATGTTTACTCAAGAATGGGAACTTGATTTTCCAATGCAGCAAAATTAACCATATCTGACACTCCGAAGACTCCAGAAGGACTTCGTGCTCGAATAATGATGATGATTATGATCTTTTTTCATGACAATTTTCACCTTCTTCCGTTCTGTTGCATGCCATGTAACTAAGAGGCTTCCTAACACGTTGCCCGAAAAATGATCCAAGTATTTCTGAAGTTACCACTGATACAGCCCAGAAGGAGGAATTTCGTCCCCCTTCACCAACACCGGCTTATACTGAAGCAGATCTGCTCTCTTCTGTACTGAAAAGGCTTAATGAGCTTGAGGAGAAAGTGGACACACTTCAATCAAAGCCATCTGAGATGCCTTATGAGAAAGAGGAATTGTTGAATGCAGCTGTTTGCCGTGTAGATGCTCTTGAAGCTGAGCTTATTGCCACTAAAAAGGTATCTTTTTTAACCCACTCAGGAATCTGTTTGCCACTAAAGAGGTATCTTGTTTTAAGGTTGAGCACTTTACCATTTCATGTCATGGCCTGAGCGGTCTCCTAAAGTTGATTCTTAATTACTCTAATATGCTATGCGTACCTTTACACTTCCTTGGGTGTTCTTGGATTTTATTCTGCACTTTGTGTGAGCGGCGCAAACTTGAATGAACTTTTCCTAATTAGACTTCAAAAATGTTTATTGCTTTTGTTCCTTCCGAGCAGGCTCTTCATGAAGCTTTGATGAGGCAGGAAGAACTACTTGCTTACATTGACCGTCAAGAAGAAGCCAAATTCAGGGTTAGATTGTTTCAAATAATTTTTATCGTTCGTAAATGAAAAGTAATTTCACATTTCAATTAAATTTAAACTATGATGTCATTGACTGATATCTTCCTCTCTCTGTAACAGAAGAAGAAGAAGTTTTGCTGGTAAGATATTCTCTATCAGAGAGGCTTAAAAAATCACTCGGCTGCTTCTAGGGTCATTTCCTGAAACGTGCGCGCTGCACAACCCAGTTCGACGTTTTTGAGGATGTATACAGTTGAAAACAATTTGATCTCTATCTACTGATACGAAATAGGATGGTGTTTGTGAGAAAAGTTATTGATAATTACTTTCTAAACCTAAATTTTGTGTCTATTATTTCATATCCCACTTTCTCTCCATGTAATGTTTGAGACAAGAGGATTTGGTATAATTCAAGGGTTTTCTTCACGTCACGCATATCTCAATTCTGAGTCTTTTGATATAAAAAACTGGTTTGATCTCATTTCACATTGCAATACTATGTCTTTTTTGCTATTTGAGTGTAATTATTACCCTCGTAATTTTGTTGGTATTACTCCTGCACAACAACAGAGTATAAGGTGTAAATAAAGCTTCCGCCATATGCAATAGATGCCATTCATTTATGGATTTGGAGAAGACGTTAAATGATAAAAACATTTTGAAATTTATATAAATTTTAACTGATTTGTTAATAGTGATCAAGACATTCAAGAATGGAACTCTCGGTTCTTATGCACTGCGCAAACCCACCCAATGGATCGAAGAGCGAAAAGCTGTGTTCTCAAACTGCTGTATCTTCTTGTTCGCAATCTACAAAGCCATCAGTCTTGTCCAGAACCAGTTCGGAGAACAATGCTTCAACGTTAGCTCAATGTGAACCCTGTTGATTTTTTTCATGAATATAAACAGTACAGCTACAGCAGAGATATCGTTACATATTTACCCATATATATATAAATGTTGCTGTGTACGGGTCACATACATGTACATATATATATGATCCGAACTTTCACATCATTATTGCCCAACAATTCATTTTCCCATTACAAGAAAAACTTCAACAATGATATATGATCGCTGCAACAACTAACTAAAAATTCTATCATCTTCGTGGAAAAAATAAAGAAAATCATCATATATGAATCTTGAATTCAGTCAATCGCTCAAGAAAACCAATCTTGTAATTTTCCATGGAGAGAGAAAAAAAAAGATTGAGCGAGTGATCTTTACTCTAGAAGAAATTAAACAATTCAATCAATCATTCAGAGTCTCCTTCTCTTCTTCCTCAACCTCCACGCTCTAGATTCTTCTCTCTCTCTCTCTCTCTCCTTGCGGTCTCTCTGTTTTCAGCTTCATCATCATCTTCTTCTGTTCACCGCCGGAAGGCTTTTTCAGATCTTCTTCATTTGTCTATTTTTCTACCGCCATGCTTGTTGCACATGCTTCACCTTCAAAGGAAATGCATGCTGAAACCAGAGTAGTATCTACAGTCTCCTTCTTGTCGGTCACACACACATGCATATACGTATATATAGGTATCGCTGTATTATGTATCCAGTGTACCTATCTGTTTTATATCCCCGAGGAAGAGAAATAAATTTTCTCAAAATTCCCAATACACCCCCTTATTTTCTAGAAAAATACGTCCCCTCAGATTAAGTAATTTACGTTCCTCCCCCAAAAACAACTTATAATTTTCAGTTTAGTCCCAATAATGTCAGCCATTATTGACTTTCGGCTGGACTCCCATTATTAACTCACCCTCGGCGTCTTCTATATTACGTATTCTTAAAATAAAAACGCAGCGTTTTCAGAAGAGAAAGTTTTAAAAAAAGGTAAAACGGCGTCGCTTGAACCACAAGCTAGTAATTCCCTCCTACTACGACATGCGCGTGATCGCGTCGACCACGCCGCTGTACTTGCGCCAGTTGACCCGGTCGGAGCCGCTCGTCAACTTTGGTGTAATATATATAATACATATACATATATATTATAATAAATACATATATATAATACATGCCCAAAGTTTTTTTTAATTTATTTTTTCTGTTAAAAAAGAGTGTTATTAAAAAAATTTAAGACATAAGTTTAATATATGAATCACGTAATAAAACTTAAAATAAATATATTAATTTTTTTATTCCCAATTTACATTTAACTTAATTTTTTAATAAAATAAAAATTTAAATATATTAAAATTTGTAAATTATTATTTTCAACAAATCTAACTAAATGGGGCCATGAAGACCATTTTTACATTACTACAACTTAATACAATACATATATATATATATATGTATTCAAAATACAATTACATACACAAATTATTACAAATAAATGAAAACATAAAATTTCATAGTTCAGAGGGACTTTGGATTTTAATTCTAAGAAACAATCTCCAGAACGCAGCATCTGTTGCCTCGGACGATAGATTGCGTGTTTAAAATCCGAAGAACTGGCAAAAAATCAGAACAAGTTTAGATGCTTAAAAAAAAATTTTCAAATTTTTTAGGGATGAGAAGTTGATCAATACCTTAAATTGAACTAAACAGGATGAACATATAAGATTTATTGTATGTATATGTATGTGTACTTACCTTCTTTTTCTTCTTCTTCTTCTCGATGTAGGCAAGTATTTCCTTCTGCTGGGCAAGAGCATCATCAAGTGCCTGCACATTAAACATTCGGAAACACACAACTTACGATTTATCGTAAAAGAAGAAACGTACCAACTATTCAGTAAAAAAATTTATTAGAATAATTAAGTAACATGGTTTGATTTATTTGTCGTATACTTTTTTAGTTGCGGATAGCTCTTGTTCGAGGGCACTGACACGACTCAGAGCATTATTCAGCAACTCTTCCTTCTCTGGTGGCAAGGCTGCAGGCTGCATGCTCATGAGCTTGGCCTTGTCCTCCAAATCGGCCATTCGTTTCATCACTGACAAGTACTCAGCTGCGGACACAGCCGGTGTAGGTAACTTCTGGGAATGGCCTTTAAGCATTGTGTCATCATAGTAACCAGATCCAAACATTGCAGCTTCTGTAAGCTTCCTTGGCATGCCGCGGGACAAGCGAACCATGGTGACGATACCCATGATTATCGACAGGACTCCTCCAAAGAGTTTGTTACTCTCCTCAGGAGCCTTGCAGGCACCTTTTATGGGATAGCAATCTGTAGATATAGAGTGAAATTTTGTTAAACCATTCGGAAAAATGTGATTTATATAAATAAGTATGAGAAAGTATTTTAAAAGATAAGTTATCGCTAGATAGTACTTTAGTTTGAGTACAGGTATATATAAGCATTTGAACAGCTTTTATCCAGTACGTGTAACATAATTAAACCTAATTTATGATTATAATTAAATTCAAAATATTAAACACTGAAATAAAGAGTCTTATTGATTTGCAAATTATTATTTTCAATGATACATTCTCTTAAAGCATAATATATATATATATATATATATATATCAGATTAACCTGTAGGAAAAGCACAAGTTTGATTCTTCAATGATGTAGGCCAAGTAGTATCTACAGTCTTGTCGACCATTGGAATGAGTTTTTCATAGTCTTCTGCAATCTTGCTCTTGTTGATGGGAATCTGCATTTTTTCATTGTTGTGAAAACCATGAAGTGAACATATATATATATATATATATGTATGTATGGACAAGTTTCCATCTTGATTCAGATTCTTACATCTTCAACAACTAGAGAAAGTGTTTGATGCTCGCCATACTTGTGAGTGTTCATAGCCATGTCAGAGCTGAAAGAATCAGTTCTCTGCGTTTTACACAATACCCATCAGATTCTGGACGACTATATCCAAAAATCATAAGATGAAGATTGAAGAGTAGAATATATAGATATACATTATATAAACTATTACAGATATTTATACTTCTACAAGCAAGAAATTTTTAAAGAAACAATGATACCCTTGAATATGGTTTGCCATCTTCAGATATTGTCTTCTCCTCAATGTCTGACAAGCTTCTCCTTGAGCATTTGCCTTCTCCATTTTGAACCATCTGATTCATCAACATGGAAACGAAGTCCCATGAATCTCCCATTTGAATTATCAAATCCATTTTTACAGCTTATGAAACAATTATCTAATTCTTACCCTCATTATTTCTGGATCATTCCATGGACCCTTATCCGACCTCATACAACCACCTTTATCAGCACAAGTGCACGAGCCACCCAAGAAATCTGGCAACTCACTGGAACAAAATCAAGAAACAAGAATGCCATGAGATTCTCTTCGAGATTTTGATCGAAACCCAGTAAAGGTGTTACCAGATTCTAATCATTTATAGGTCAATCAAGAAAGAAGAATTTAGGACTAATTCGTATCGATAGTGATCGTACCTAGAATCGATTATTTCAAGCAGTTTGCACTGGTATTTGTTGCCCAAGACCTAGAAAATTACAACCATATTCTTATTCTTTTAGGTCCCATTGGAATTTAATTGAAATGTGAATTGGATTAGGTAAGTATATGTTAGGTATTTACATGGATTTTTGCTGTGGTCTTGGGATCAAGGAATGATTTCACTGTGTTCCATAGTAGCCTGAATCCAGAACCGGCATTGATGATGAACATCCGGTTTAGTGTCTACGACCAAGTAGAGCATCGAGTTAATGTTAATTAGGTAAAGAAGAAGAAAAAATTTTAAGGTAAGGCAACAAATTGAGAAAATTCCCAAGTATATTGATAAGAATTTAACGAGTTAAGAAGTACCTCGGGGTAATTGTCCCCGTCGATCTTCTGAATTCGCTGAAGGAGATCCCTTGCAGCCTTATTGAAGTTCTTTAAACCCTGTAAGATTGAACAAATTTAAACTAAAATACTATCGAATTCAGGTCTGATCTAATGATATTGTAGCAAACAACTTTATTTTTTGGCACGTAAATGATCCAGACGATACAAAGTAAAAACACATACCACTCCTTGCACATCCAAAATAGTTGTGCTCTGATCAATATGTTTCTTGGCTGCAATGGAGCAACCAGGAAACTTGACATTAAAAGTTTTCTCGAACTCCTTCACATGGTATTTCACGTATCGATCAATTGTTGTAACTTGCATTAGCTTATTTGCATCAACTTGACCTAACCTCTCAATGTAGACTGGTCTTCCATCCTTGTCTACTCCATGGTATCCTTGCGGATAGTATTTCACAACTTCATCGATCTCCTTGAAATCAAAGTCCTTAATAAAGGAGAAATCGAAGAAAATTATTACGGAGAAGAGAATGCAGCATGTTACTAGATATATATATATATATATATATTTTTAAAAGAAAAAGTTGAAGTAAACCTCCAGGATTGTGTCAGCACCAAACTCCTTCCTCCATTGAAGCATGTCAGTCCACATTTGCTTTGCTTTCTCAATGTCGTATTTCCTAGCCCTTAAAAATCTGTAATCATCCAAACATTAAATTTTTACTGTTAAGATAAATGTTTTAAGTAATTATTTGAACAAATTATTTAAAAACTTAAACTGATAAAAAATAGACGGAACGAAAAAATAAATATAACCTTAGCATCATATGATGATCATCGTGTTTAGACGGTAGTAGCTCTTCTAAGATGAGTGCTTGGCGAAAGGAGTCCACTGCCTGCAATTCCTCGGCATCAATTACGTCTTCGATTGAAACACTCATAACCCTGCTGTTTCGTCGGCCCTTCTTTGTCAGCGAATTCCTGAACTTGTTCGAGGCATTGATCGCCTTCTTCTTCAATGATCCGAGCCTCGTCTTCTTATCTTCCTCACAGCCTTCCATCTCGGATTTCTCAGTACCTGTAAATATCATCATTTGCGGCATGAAAATTAATCAAAGCAGAAACAAATTCAAAAATTATTTATTCGAAATATTTACTTACCAGCTTTGATATGTCCAGATTTGGTGTCAGCCATGATTAAATAATCTTGGAAGGTTGTTCTATTTTGTTATATACAGGAGATTTTAAGCACTCATACGTACAGATTGCTGAAAATTAGTGCTCTCAATTATATTATACGTACACCTACGTATGCATAAAACCACATTCTGCATATCAGTACATACAATCTCTTTAACTCAATAAAATTGAAAATGGTGGTGGGTAAAAAAAAAAAAAAACAAGAACTAGGATTAATTGAGAAGAAGATCAAAAACTAAAATGAAAATTCAAATGAAGCATAAAATGTACTCGATATGTAATTCGATGCAATCGGGTAAGCTTAAAATCGAAAAGGGTTGTCCGGAAAAAAATAAAAAAACTTGAATTGAAGAGAAAATGGAGAGAAAAAGAAATAATTTTTTTTTACCTTTATAAGAAGGGAGTCAAGAGAATTTGGTGAAGAGAGATACAGAGAAATGTATGTATAGATCACCCGAAGGAATTAATATGGCCCCTCAGAGGACAGCTAAAAATGATGTATAGGCTTGAATTATATATAAACAGATAAGAGAGACAGTTCATTTAATTTTTTTTTTTTTTTTCTAAAAAATTTTTGAACTTTTAAAATTTCTATTTGATGATCAAAGCTGGCGATATGCAATCCACTCCCTTCAATTTTTAATATATATATATATATATAAATATATATTTCTTTCTTTTTAACTAATTTTTTTTCCCACAGATTTTCCGGGAAAATTAAGAAGGTAGTTTTTACAGTTAAGATAACAGCTAGAAAAGGAATGCATTGACAAATTGAATAGGGGGTTGTTGGGTAAATTTAATGATATTTATTTATATTAATTACTTATTTTATACTTTATAACTTATAATTAACCCATTTATTTTGTGCATATCTAATTAATGAAATCAATGAATTATGTCAAAATTGGCTGGACCCCATTACCCAATTTTGACCAAGTTCGAGTTGACTCAATTTGAAAAAAAAAAATAATTTAAACTCAAAATTTATTAATAATAAATAATTATAATAATAACTAAAATGATTTGGTTTTTTATAATTAATTAATTAACATAATTATGAGAGAAGGAGGCCACGTATTAAGATTGTAATTAATGCGAGGCACGTCTTATTGTAAAAAAAAAAAAAAAAAAAAAAAAAACCCTATTTGCTTAGCTTTTCGGATTGTCAAAGTGGTGTTTTGTATTTTGTTAAATTATATTTTATAAATTTGTGGGAAAATATATAAAAATTATATTGTTTTTCTTAGACTTGTAATTTTATATATATAAAAAATAAACTATTATTTCTAAATTTATTATAATTCACAAAACTATTATAAAATTTATTAAAAGATTTTTTCATGTTTCAAATGTAATAAATTTTAAAAACAATATAAATATTAGGTTGTAAGTAATGATTTGTTTCCTACACTTGTTAAATTAGTTTCTAATTCAATTTTTTTGTCGAATTAGTCTTTATATATATATATATATATTTTAAAAAATTAATTTAATTTAATCTGTTAATAAAGATTAATATCATTAATTTAAGTGTTATGTGTTATATTTATTAACACGTGGAACATTCTGATTAATTTAATATTTTTTTAAATTTTATATTAATTATAATTATTACCATAATTAAAATAAATAATATAGAAATTAAATTATTATTTTAACCATAATTATTACACAGAAAAGAAGAAAAAACTGGTTCTTTATTACACGTGTAAGTATGCATTTCAAATTCATTTTTATTATTAGATTCCTAAAACTGCTGTAGTTTTTTTGTCTGTTTGATTCTTCGTTTTCGTCACTGGTTAAACCCTATAGAGTTCTTCACAGCTAAATTAGAGACTATCAAAGCGGCTCTAAGTTCAGCTCCAGAGCTGCCATACTCTCCGGCTGCTACAGTCAAGACTCAACGTTCTTTCTCCATCAATGATGGCGAATCACTATTTTTCTTTACAGTCGAGACCGAACACTCTTCCTCCATCAATGATGGCGGTTCACTCTTCGTCTCTGTCAAGAACCCTAAAACATCCATTGCACCAAAACTCATTTTCCCAATTCCCCATTTTGCCTCTCAAATCCAATCTGAAACCCGTGAAACCCCTCTCCCACATGGCAGTCGTCCAGAATCCTTCTAAATCCCTGAACCAAGAAGAAAAAACAGCGGAGTTTCACCATTGTTTCACAAAATCCCCTGATGGATTTCTTTGCTGCGAGGGGGTCAAGGTGCAAGATATCATGGAGACTGTCGAGAGAAGACCTTTTTATTTATATAGCAAAGAGCAGATTACTAGAAATGTTGAGGCATATAAAGAGGCCTTGCAGGGATTGAGGTCTATAATCGGTTACGCCATAAAAGCCAACAATAATTTGAAGATTTTGGAGCATTTGAGACATTTGGGATGTGGATCTGTTTTGGTCTCTGGAAATGAGCTAAGGCTTGCTCTTCGTGCCGGTTTTGACCCTAAAAAGTAAATATTTCATACCCTCTTTCACTGTTTCTTTGCAGTTTTTGCAGGTTTACTTTTGTGTATGTATAGACAAGAACATGGTAATTTGTTTACAATTTAGACATGCTGAATGGTGATATTACTTTGGATTGATGTTGAATTTGTAAGATTATGTACACTAATGCCAGAAAATATTATTAGCCTAAAAGGAGGTGTGAACATATGATCTGTTTATCTTGTGACATGGGGATTTGATAAAGACAAAGTCTGTGGAGTTTACTTATGGTGTGGGAAGACTGATTTTCAGCTATCTACCCAATGCAAGAACCGACAGGGCACTGATTAATTCCTTTTCCTCCCAAAGAGAGATGAGTTTGGAGTTGCTGTTGCGAATAATGTGATAGATGTGAAAGATTTGGAGATCATAAGTTTAGATGGTTTCTAAGAGGAATTGTGTGGTAGTGGTATGTGTGTGCCTGGTGATGGAGAACCAGGTGCAAGGGGTACTTTAATCTCTAGTCCTAATTTGGTTGTCTAAAAAACTTTTAGAAAACAAATAGTAAACTTGAGCCTTTTTTTTTTAAAGTCAAATTTGAGCTTTTAAGATTGGCTACATAACCAAATTGGTTCATGGAAGCAAATAATTGGAGGAATACTTCTGTCTTGAAGCAATTTAAAAATAAAAGTTTCTGTCTGGTAGAAGTTTCGTTTTCATTTTCATTTAACCTGGCACTTGATACCTTATGAAGTTCATTTTCTTTGGCAAAAAATCACTAGTCAACTTAAAAGGTGGCTAATTGTTTTCTTTTCTTTTTGTTTGTTTGGTTTTGTGTGTGGATAGCAAGCAAAATAAAAGAAGGCAACTAAGTTTCCAATAGAAGCTTCTGTTTCTTATAAATAAAACTAATGTATAGCCAAGGAGGTAAACAGTATATAAAAATTTGAGGTTTTATATGCTCTAAGCTTCCAATGAAATGTACTTCTGTCTGGATGTTTCTTTTTCCCTTGAAAAATTTATTTTCTGAAACCATGAAAATACTAAAATTACATATATACTTTTTTCAGTTGAAAACTATTCTTTTTGAATATAGATAATGTATAATATTCAAGAGCATCAAGGGGGTGAAACTCATGTACACTGATTTAAAAGTTTATCAAAATATAAACAATGTATATATTCAAGAGCATCAAGCAAGTGCGACCCATGTAGAAAGATTTACAAGTTTATCAAAATATATATAAGGTCTCCAAGATCCTCGTTAGAATAAAGCAGATGATCTTTGATCAAGAAGCTTAGGATTTGGAACCAGGAATCCTTCAAGTTAACAAAGTTATGTTCAATCCTATCAAAAGCCCTTCTGTTTTTCTCCTTCCAAATGACCCGAAAAGTAACTAGAGGGATAAGACTTATCCTCTCATCCCCTTGAATGCCTTTCCTGTTGAAAACTATTGCCAAAAAAAAAAAAAAAAAAAATTTCTTTTTGGCTCTTTGATTCCAATTGTCTGTCTCTTATTTCCTACAATTTCAGATCTTCTCTTTGTAAAATTTCCAATCCTCATTAAACATCTCCAAGACATATGATCATGTATCTAATTTATTTTTATTCTTTATCTGGTTCCCTAACCCCCAAAAAAAAGAATTACTCTATTTTTTTTTATTTGGGCTTTAGCTTGTCATTTTTTTTTATTCATGCTTCTATGTAACTTAGCTCCTGTAAGTTTAGGAAGTTACTCTTTTTTGGGATTAACAAACAATACCAGTTGACTTTACAATGTTGGCAAAAAAAGTGTTCCCTGAATGTGTCATTGCTTTAGAAACCAATTATAAACTGGATATTATCTTTAGGCTTGCCAGTGCTTTTCTTAAAAACAAATATAAAAATCTGATGAAAGACTCAACAAACCTTGCTTTGTTGGTAGGCATCTGCTTGGGACTTATAATACCTATAAGTTGAGTTGACTTGATATTCCATTTGCAAAATGAGCGACTAATTCAATCTAGTGTTATTTTCTTAATGGCAGATGCATCTTTAATGGGAATGGGAAGCTTCTAGACGATTTGGTTCTAGCTGCCAAAGAAGGTGTTTTCGTTAATATTGATAGTGAATTTGACCTTGAAAACATCATAGCAGCTGCAAGAATTGCTGGAAAGAGGGTTAATGTTTTACTTCGGATAAATCCAGATGTGGACCCACAGGTATATTGCAACTCTGGTTTAGACATATAGGTAAAATAATGATTAAATCACAAAAAAAGGCCTCAAGGTTAAAGGATGTTACAAAAACACTATTGTATGTCGACCCTATATTTCAGCTTTCTTGTCAGCAGTGATTTGTATGCCATTTTTATTTAGATTTTACTATGATATCATCTTTGG